CCCGTAATGACAATTTTTGGATCACACAACGAGTTGTTCCGTGCGAGAATCGAACTCGAGACAGCATTACACTGTAGCCAGCTATTACGTGCTTCGCAGCAAATTATACGAAGCGTGACCGAATCTTTCACGCGTTGCGTGCGTAGTCTTCGCAACGCGCAACGTCCTTAGTTTGATTTCTATGCGTGCCGATCAATGGAATGTAGGTCACTCGGTGTTTACCTACTTTGATGATTTTAACATCGAGTGCGACTGGGTACCGGCCGAGGATATCTACCGATTTTCAAATTTATTAAGGATAACAAATGTGCAGGGCTGGGAACTACCAGCTCGTGACTATCGGTCTTAGCGTGTTTTTTTATTTGGTATGCTGGTAAACGAGCATGCGGATGACCTGATGGTAAGCAAACGTCGTAGTAGGCGTCGCCCACCCAGAACATCAGAGGCGTTACAAGTGCGTTACCGGCCTTCTGGGATTAGGAATTTGAAGACTGTTGGAGATTCAGGGATTGCGGAGATTGGGGAAGGGAGGGTGGTGGTAATTGGGCCTCCGGTAACCCCACTCACACGACGAAACACAACACAAGTACCTATTGTTTCACGTCAGTTTTCTGTTAGGCCGTGGTATCACTCCGGTCGAGCCGACCCATTCGTGCCGAAGCATGGCTCTCCCACACTTAAAGGCTTGCAAGAAATCTCTTAGAAAAGTTATAAAACCATGAAGAGTCCGGCCACTATGTTAATAAATGGCCATAACAAACTCCCTTTGCCCGCATAGCACATAGCAAGCAGGGTCTCTTACACACTTATAATTATATCATCATCCTACTTTCTAACCTTACAGGATGACCTTTACTCAGAGATTTCATTAGCTTTTAAATGTATCCCATTCTGGCATCTTTAAATCGGTGTAATTCTTCTACACCAGACATTTCAGTTTTGCAGTCAGCAATAGAACTATTAGGTAACTCTGTGACTGACGCCCAAATACTGAATAAGAAATGAAAAATTGAAATACGAATTATTATATAATAAAATTCAGTAGCATTTCAGTATTTGGGCAGATGAAATGACAGAGATAGCACGATATTTAAGTTATACTTACAATGAATTTGTAGTGACAGAAATATTATTGAAAGCGTCTAAAAATTGAGTGATATTTGGTATTTGAACATGTGGCCATTTGATCTGCAAAGATCTTAAAATGCTTCAAGAATAAGGAGATTCATTCATTTTTATATCCTCAAAGTATGCAAGGACTGTAGATAGAAGGTGAAGCTTTACATATTCAGCCTTATGTATATTATTTTATGGCCGAAATTAATAAACTGATGCCAATAAAAACTCATTTAATATCGATTTCTGGCGTTTCTTGTATGGAGTTTATGTTAAATACAAGATTTCGGTTTTTAGTATAATAATTTTGTTCTTATGAGACAGGCTGTACGACTTACATTGTCTGTGCTTATTATTCAGGTGTCAAATCTTATACACAAAACATACCTATATTACAATTTGACATTTAGGGAGCTAAATTTAGTCACATCTATATACTCATGAAACAATTGATGTATTTTAGTAGTTACTGCAAGAAAGTTCTAACTTAAACTATAATAGAACAACAACTACAGTCGCCACAATCTAAGACGTCAACTATGACGTTCGTCAGTCTATGTACCGCTGTAACTTGTTATGAACGTCCTGAAACGTCCACGTCAAAAAAGCGTATATACGGTCGAATTGAGAACCTCCTCCTTTTTTGAAGTCGGTTAAAAAATGAAAAAATCGAATTCATAATATTAATTCATTACTTCGTTACTCATACAATTTCATAAAGAATATTATTTATGTGCATCTTTAGCTTTATATTATAGAAATGTATTTAAACAGACGATTTATTCAAAGAATAATATTCTAAAAGACCGCCATTACAATTTCAAATCTTCTGGGCCTTTAGCCAAAAGCTACTTTAGCGCTTATCTACAGAGAGAATAGAAATCAAAATGTATGGGGATGACACTGACAAGTGTCAAAATTTACGTCAATCCCATATAATTTGGTTTTCTATTCTACATGTAGACAAGCGCTAAATGGCATTTGTCTACAGCTGCAGGTTGGTTACCGTAGTGATTTTACCTGTCAGTTATCCGAATTCAATATCAATCTTAAAAGTACAAAATGTGTTACTTAAAAATCGTGCCTGTTCGGTGTTATATTTAACACCAAACGCATTTTATGATTACGCATTATGTCGCGTGCGCTTGAATATTAACTCGTCGAGTACCGTCATTATAGACACAATTATAGAACAATAGGTTGCGGTCACCTGTGTCCTCGCGGTGTTTGATAGTTTCATTTTATTTATAAACTTACGCCGGAATATTGAAACCTTACTCAATTTTAAGTCGTGCTTAAATATCGTGCCATCTCTGTCATTTTACAAAGAATTAGTGGTGACAGAACTATACTTAAGACTTAAGAGCGACTTAAAATTGAGTAGCGTTTCAGTATTCCGGCATTTGTGCATTTTACGAAATCACCGCGACCGGTTGTGCATTCAATAACATTTTAACATTTTCCTAATATTAACTCATTGTATCGTGTGTACAGTCAGAGGTCAAAAGTCCACTGCCACCGTGAGTGATGTTCACACGGCAATGTGTAAGTAATTTCATATTAATGTGCATAAAAACGCGTGCGTACGCATAAACACACGCACGCGTACGGATACAAATATGCGTGTGCATGTGTGTATAAGCGCTGCAGCGCAACCGATAGTAGTCTTACGGTGGCAGTGGACTTTTGACCTTTGACCGTACATGATATTATTAAACTATTTAAACTGCACATTAACAATTTATCTTTCTTCTTCTCCACCAACAATGGCTCGCAATCCTAACACTCTAAAGTGCCCTGTTTGCCATTTTACAAAGAATTCGTAGCAACAGAACGTTACTTAAGCGCGACATAAAATTGAGTAACGTCTAAGTTTTTGTACATTACGAATCCGTTACAAACAGCAACCGAACTTATTTCCCTCTCCCTACATGGCAACTGTCAGAGTAAACCTCTTAGATTGTGTCGACTATAAGAGTCGATTTATCAATCATCAGTTAACTTTTAACTGAAGAATAAAATTGACATTTGACAGTTTATAATAAGTAAGAAATGTCAAATATTCAAAGTTATTTCACAGTTAACATTTATCTGGCGTTGGAAAAACCGGCCCTAAGTTCATTTTGTTTATTACTACTCGTCTCTATTTATCTAATAATAGTATGAAGAATTTTTTATATGATATCGAAACGACTTCAAATTACAAAAATAATAATGGAAACAAAAAAACTAGCCCATAGTGCAATCCACATTGTTTATTCAAGTTTTCTTGAACGATGTTTAGGTCGCTTCCTTTCAGCGCGGTTGCATACAAGTCTTGACTGTTTTAAAAACAAACATAATAAATTAAAATAAAAACATCTCTACTTACGACTTAAGAAGATAAACACAATTAATTTTAACATAACATCACGCCTTATATCCCCGAAGGGGTAGGCAGAGATGCATATTACGGCACTTAATGCCACTGTACAATGTAACACCCACTTTTCACTATTTATGTTGTGAGTCCCATGTAATAGGGATTTCTCACACAACTCCAGACCCCGTGCTACTACTGAGATTTTTTTTTGAAAACCCAGTAATACTTTGCCCGACGCTGGAGTCGAATTCGAGACCCCTTACGGCAGTCGCACTTGCGACCACGCGGCCAAAGATGCAGTCAGTTAATTTCATTGACCCGAATGTATAATTTGTATAGTTACTTAAAAGATAGCATGTAATTTAATATCTGTACTATTATATAGTATAATCGACTGGCTGGACCGATTGTCTCCTGTATCTTGTCTTGGGTGCGTTTACAAACATACAAGTTCACATATACATCACACCCAGATCCGAAACAATGATCTGTGGCTACACGAAGAGTTGCTCCGTGCAATCAAACCGGTGCGCGGCAGTCGGTCGCCAGGCACCGCGCCGACCGTGCTGTTTATTGTTTAGTTTGTCGTGGTCAGGAGAAAACGTTTAAACCGCTATAGATCGCTAACAAAATAATGAGGAAGTTGAGAATAAACACCCTTGCGAAGCTGGAGCGGATCGCATGTCACTAATAAAAATTAAGACTTAATTATTTGAATTCGATATGTTAATTTTCTTTTGCAGTAACTTTAATAAAAATTTTGACGTCAAATCCGACTTCTTATTTTGTGACGATTTTAGCTCAGTATTTAGACATTCTAACTGCTCCTATAAACGAACACGAACAGTGCATAACCTGGGTGTCTTCAAGGCCCGAGTGAATAGGTTGCTTATGGGTCGACGTGCTCCAACGTAGGCCACATCATCGCTTACCACCAGGCGAGATAGTGGTCAAACGTCAGTCCAAACTAATTCAAAAAAAGAAAAAAAAACACAAAAATACAACAAGAAATCCTATTAGTTTAAAAACACACACACACGGTGACGCGGGGTCTGAGGAGTCTGGCGCATATTTATATTAACTACTTTTCCGCCCGCGAAGTAATAATTTATCTATAACCTCTATCTTTTTATATACAATTCTTCTGTGATTGTGTATGTCACTGAACTTCTCTCAAACGACTGGACCGATTTTGATGAATTTTTTTGTGTGTGTTCAAGGGGATCTGGGAATGGTTTAGATTCACAAATCAGCCCGGCAGATGGCGCTGCAGTCGGTGTTTAGGTTATTTATCCTAAACAGCTGAACTAATTTGAATGAATTTTTGTTTATACATTCAAGTGGATATGCAGGACAACGTCTGTTGGGTCCGCTAGTAGATTGATGACAAGTGAGTGGTGTTTATTTTCTTCTTCCAATTGGTGGTTCAATTATAATACTAGGTTTCCTCCTGATGTTTTCCTAACATTTTATAGTGAAGAATGAATCAAGAAAATAAATACAATACATATTAAAGACCGACCTGTTAAGGCTGATAAGCTGAGACTTGAGCAGCTTGAAGACGATCCTAGCATCTTCTTCCATGATGAGGCCAGCCTTCGCCATCTCGTTGGCAACTTCTTCGCAGTCGTCGTTTTCTATGTCGAACTCAAACTGGATCGCTTCGTTCTCCTTGTGGGTGTAAGACCTGAACAGACGAGGACTTTAACATCAGCTTGTAAGTGGCCACTGCGGAGCAGACGATCTCATCTCACACGGAAGGCATTGATCACCACGCTTGCTCAACGTGGTTTGGGTTTATTTGCATAAGACTTATGGTACATTAAACAAAACATGAGCCTACAGCATCCCCAGATGGAATGGATCTAAAGGAAAACGAAAGACAGGCAGGAACGACACTCTACACGCTGGAACGACAATAAGTCCCTAGACCAAAGTAGGTAAGTACCTTAAACTAAGTGTGGGAAAGCCATACTTCCGCACGAACTGCCCAACTCAACGGGAGTGATACCACACTCTCACAGAAAACCGGCGTAAACGAACCCTAGCATTGTGTTTCGTCGTGTGACTGAGGTTTCCGGAGGCCCAATTACCACCTTCCCTTCTCCAATCTTCCCAATCCCTGAATCCCCAACAATCCTCGAATTCCTAATCCTCAAAAGGCCGGTAACGTACTTGTAACGCATCTGGTGTTCCAGGTGTCCATGGGCGACGCCGATTGCTTACCAACAGGCGATCCGTCTGCTCGTTTACCGGTTTATCCCATATAAAAGTTGTGGGGAATAGTATATCATAGAGAGAACTGCACATCATTGGATGAAGCCATTACACAAGCAATGGACCTTGCTAATTACTAAGCGTAGTGATAGTGACATAGTAGTCATGAAAATGGCAAATTAAGAAGAAATTTTAGTAGGACCAAAAGAAGCTTTTTTATTTATTATATTATTGCTCACCGTTTTTTAGGATCGATTATCTTCAGCCGGAACTGTATCTTGGTGATATCCGACGAGGTGACTAGATCCCTGCCGACTATCTCCAGCCGCAGCCCAATGTCCTCGCCAAAGAACTCGTGGTTCAACAGATCTTTCACTTTTGGCCTGTAGCAGAAAAAGAAATACAAGAATAATATTTAGAAATTGTGGTTAGATATAAAATCGCTCTTATAGTCGGAGATTTATATTTACACAACAACTAGCTTCAGCCGCAGCTTTGCCCGCGTTGTCGTGGGATAAAAAGTACCCTATGGGTTATTCCACACCATCCACCAACACACACAACACCAACCAATCTACCCCATATTCCAAATTATCTCGATCCCTTTAGATCACTTTTTGCGTGAGAGAGTAACAAACACATACACACACACATCTCATAAACTTTTGCATTTATAACATAACATAACATAACATCACGCCTTTTATCCCCGAAGGGGTAGGCAGGCGTGCACATTACGGCACTTAATGCCACTGTACAATGTAACACCCACTTTTTACTATTTATGTTATGAGTCCCATGTAATAGAGGGTGAGTGTATTGCCATATACCGGGCACATTTCCAGACTCCGTGCTACTACTTAGGTTTTTACAAACCCAGTAATACTTTGCCCGACCCGGGAATCGAACCCGAGGCCGGGCAAGGGGTCTCGGGTTCGGGGTCGCACTTGCGACCACTCGGTCAATGAGGGTTGCATTTATAATTTTAGTAGTATTGCCTAATAAATATGATGCACATACCTGTCAGCTTTGTTAGGCTTAATACACGATTCGATGATATCCCGGACCTCAGGGATGGTGACCTTCTCCAAACTTTGAGGCTTTACTCCCTGTGAATATGATGATACAATATATTTTGTTAATTATATGGATTAGACGAATAAACGAGTATACAGATCTGAGGGCTTACTCTTGAATCCAATTCTGACCTATCGACATTGGTATTGTGAAATTTCGTACTCTTGAGTTGGAATATTAGCGCCTATTGCATCCGTATTGCGTGGATGGATATTAAACTGTCAAACACCAAGCGGTCACCGGTGACCGCAACCTATTGTTCTATAATTGTGTCTACAAAACCGGTACTCGACGAGTTAAATTAACTAACTAGTATTGAGTTTGGCTTTGTATTCCGTACTCTGAATTCCATTTTAACAGCTATGATAGGGGTTGTATAGTTTTGACATTAAACAATTATTGAGATTTTATTGGATTGAAATTGCATTGACATTGGGATTGGTTTCAAGAGTAAGCAGTAAGCACCCAGATCGGCCATCAACACCCGCAACACAAAAGGAGTTAAATAGAACCACAGTTTGAGGGTCATATAAAGAGTTGTTCACACCTTGCACAGCAGTTGACCCCCAAATAACCCCCACCCAAATAACATAACATAACATAACATCACGCTTTTTATCCCCGAAGGGGTAGGCAGAGGTGCACACAGAAGTAACACCCACTTTTCACTATTTATGTTATGAGTCCCATGTAATAGGGGGTGAGCCTATTGCCATATACCATATATTGCCACATTTCCAGACTCCGTGCTACTACTGAGAATTTTTTGAAAACCCAGTAATACTTTGCCCGACCCGGGAATCGAACCCGAGACCCCTTGCCCGGCAGTCGCACTCGCGACCACTCGGCCAACGAGGCAG